TTTCAGCCAATAAATGTTTTATCACCACCCCGGGCAATAAATATTTTGGGAAAGACCTCCTACTACCATAGTAAAGCAATTAGAAATAAGCAGACAGTTCATTGGATCATAAAATCAAAAGTAAACTTCTTATAAACTGTAGTTGACTATTTTCTGTCTCTGTTGACATTAGTTTAACGAACCAGTGACTTGTGAAGAAAGTCTAGCTATAATTGCCATGAGATGCCATGCCTCCTCCAGCTATGATCTTGGAAATATGTAAACAATTGCTATAAGTTTGCTTGTTCTAATCGTTTTTGATTTCTAATTTGCAAATTAAAAGTTGTTTGACAGTATTTAGATGAGTAAACACATTTTCAGAACTGTTTAGTAATAAATATTCCCGAGAAACTTCAACTCTATGGAAGACCTTGCTGTTAATTGGCTTTTAAAGTTTGTTTATATGCCTTTTAAGCTCTGGTTGGTAATTTCTATCATGACTGAATCTAGATCAATGAACCAGTATGCTTTCAGCAGAGAACAAACAGTTTAGATTTCTCTGCAAAATACCATGCTCTTTCAAAGCTACATCATCGGAGTCAGAACATAAACACACATTATAAATTGCTATTTTCATTATTTTTTAGGTCTAATTTCACTAGTTTTTGTGTTAATTGACTACTTAGACTAGAATGTTTCTAATCAGAAGCATCCAGCTGTAAAATTTATCATAAACTCGTAACTTCAGGTTGTTGGGTAATTGCAAGAAAAATTAATTAATTGCTTATTATAGTCAATTATTATAAAAGTGTCTAATATTCACTATTTGAAGCAGAAAAATATGTTGACCCAACCTGACCTACATTACACGAACCCCATAACCCACACGGGTTAAGAAAGAGTAGATGGTTAACAAGGCTATAACTTTACACCCCAGGATTCTAGATACTTGTGGTTTGTTTCGTTTGAAAGAAAACATATCCCTCTACATTATACATTCTGCAAAGTAATCTTATCTTTTAAATTTTTTTATAATGCTTTTTTGAGAGTTTAACATTGAAATATTATTTTAAATTTGTATTACAGTATATACAAAATTTAATGATTGTAAAGATTGATATATTTCTGATAAACAAAAAACGTATTGATTTTAGCCTGATTTTTAAACGAGATATTTGCAAGTGATTGTTTATATACTTTGTTATTACCTAACAGCGGGTGGTGTTGGCTTTCCAGGAAAATTTATAGCTAGACTTTTCTGAAAACATGTTTACAGGTCTAAATAATCCACTGTCAAACAACTTTTAATTATCTAATTACAGATCAATGGTGGGGATGTCTTTTTCAGAATATTTATGGGTGGTGACAAAATATTTTACTGGCAGAACCCCCAAATTTGGGGTTTCACAATAAAAATCTGTTGAGTCTAGTGATGTATGAATGTGCTAGTGGAGATTTGGGATGTGATGTGTAGTTTTTCTAGTATCAGATCGAGTCCTTTTTTAATTAATGTTTCATCATCTGTAGAATGTTGTAGCACAGCAGAACATCGTACAAGCTGGCATATCAATCAAAGATTATTAGAGTTTTGCACTGCAGTTGTTTTGTGATATTTGAAGTATCTCCACATAAAATATAGTGGGAATCATATAAAATTATATTGATTTTTAGTATTGTATATAGTGTAACCCAAATTAAAATATCAGAGCATTGGCCAAAAGAAGTTTTGAAAAAAACATTAATTTATCTTATAAACATTTATCCCCATACCCAGAGGGGAAAAGAGGAACAGAATAAAGTACATGTAAATTATTTTATTTTTGTTTTAATATTCGTGTATTCAATTTACTTTAATATAGTACTAGCAGGAACCTGTTGAAATTTAGGGTTTTATTCAATTACAATAAGCTAATTTTAAATTTGTCATTTTATGCAAATCATTGGTACAACAAATATTTTCTGGACCGTTTGCTAGTGATTCATGCCTACCTGTTCTCTTGTATCCTCCCACTGGCCCTCTCTCCCAATGGCTTCTTTCAAATTTGCATCTGGGTCCCAGGATGGCAATTTAGCATTTGTAAGCTTTCGTGGTCGACCAAATCTGATTGGCTGGGTTTCAGCTTAATGGTGAGGGTAATGTTGGCCCACCTTGTGGCAATCTCATTCACTGTTATAAAACTCTTAGCCACTGAACACCAGTAATTGGTTGTGGGTTTGTGCCTAGCCAGTGGACTGGCCATGTGAAGTTTTCTGGGTTTTTTTCATGTCAATAACATCTGAATAGGGGCCAGAGGTCTTTCATAAAAAAGACCTCCTGGGAGGTTTTCCCTCAGTAGATTGCCCATGCTTAATCAAATAAACCTTAACCTATCATACGTTCAAGTTTCTTCTTTTAGTTGGTAGATGTGTTGGTAGGTTGTCGAGAAAGCCACCAATTGGCATTAAGTAATGAATTAGAATCATGTTTTGTTCTCATCATGAAGTAATAGTAAAATAGAGATTGGCACTAAAAGTTGGTAGATGTCAGTATTGGTCAAAGTAATTATGAAAAATGTTTTATCCACTCAGCCACTAGTGGGCACAAAGCTGCATAGAGATCGAAGAGAACATAACTATCATATTCTTTGAAAATGAATTTCTGCGATTCCAGACATCCCACAAATAAATACTCTTATAAGATTTTATTCAAACAAAATTACACAACTTTATACTTGGCATTAAGGTTGGGGTACATTTTTTTTGTATTTATATTATTTAAATATACAGTACAACCAGGCACATAAACAGTCATTAAATACAACTGTACATAATATTACCTCATTTTATCAATTATCCATTATATATACTGTACATCAGCTAGTACAGTGCTTTTCAATTGGGTGCCATAGCACACTTTGGCTGCAAAATATACTGTCTAGCAGCACCCTAATTCTATTAATAAATAGGGGTGCTGTAACAAAACAATTAGAAAGTTGTGATGCTACTATTAGGGAAAAAAAGCTGAAAAACACAGAGCTAGTACGATGCATCAGTAGTATTTGAATTAAACAGATAAATCTGTTTTCTTCCAATATTTCTGTAATCTTCTACACACTTCATCCTATTTAATGAATCTCTTCAGGTTAATAAATTTATTAATAGCATTCCAGTGGTGATATGTCCTGTTCAAAATAGGCCATGATCACATTTTTCAAAGCAAAGTATAGTAGTAGTTAGAAATTGTTTTCTTACTAATATCTCTCTTCCTCTTGATGCAACAAATGCAGCTACTTAATTATTTAAATGGCATGTAGAGTTAATTATTTAGAAATCTGCTTTGTACAGTGTATATACAGTACTTGCCAAATGGATTATTCATCAAAATTTGATAAGATTTTGTAAGATTCCAACACAAGTTTTACAACTGAACATATTCTGTACTAAATTTTACACACAGTTCTGTATAATCTGACTTATTAATGGTAAGGAGTTTAAAATATAACAGAAATTTGTCAATTTAAAGTAGAAGTTAAAGTTTAGCTCTGAGGAACCTGAATTTGACTTGAAATCTGAAGTTTCTGTGGGTAGTTTGTCTTGGATCAAAATCTACCTCTTGTAACTTGCGCATGAATCTGGCAACTTTTTCATGCACCCTTGCTGCATTAGGTTATTGTACACCTAAGTAAACCAAAGTCGCTGCTAGAACATCCAGTGTTCATCTGCCATTTATGAAATTGGCATCCTCCTGTTTCATCACGTAAACAAAATGACTTAAATACATTATTTTCCAAATGAGTTCCCATAACAAGAAATATTTTTGGCTTGGCCATCACCCAATGTGGGAAAAACCAAAAAAAGGAAACTAAAGACAATTGAAAATGATCAAATGAGTGTATTTTCTTGAAGAGCACCCAGGCACAATATTTTGTCATTTTGAGGGTGCCTGAAAGGAAAATTGTAAACTTATGCATTCTGGAAGCTGTCTCAAATGCCTTTGAGACAGTTTCCAGAAGCATTTTGCAGACTGCAAAGCACTACCCCGAACCGTATATATGATAAGCACTAAAAATAAAGTTTCTCATACTTATGGGCTTGTGTGTGCAAGATAAAAAAGAAACATAAAACAGTAAATAGCCTTTTTATTTTGATTACTTTTATACAACAATAACACTGCATAGTCTTGGGAACATCTTGACATGTGAAACCAGATAGTTTCTAATACATAAAACAATTCAAATATAACATTGTATGAGAATTAAAACAATAACATTTGATATATTGATGCTCTTAAGAATGTAAACCATGTTTTTCAACCTGTGGGTTGCGACCCCCAGGGGGTCCCAAAGCCTTATACGGGGGGTCGCGGGTGAAAGAAAAAGACAAGTGTTTGTAGATCCTACACTACAATAAAAAAAACTAGAATTTCAGTGAGAAGGCTGTGCCTGTTTATTTTACAGTACAATTGGTTTTTCAATCAATATTTAAAGAAAGAATTAAATATGTAGTTTTTAAAATCACTGATATAGTTTTAATATGGCCCTGGGGGTCACCAGAATTTTTTAACTTGTAAAGGGGTTGCGTATTCAAGAAGGTTGAAAAACACTGATGTAAACAATACATAAAATTTGCATAAAAGTCTTATTAATAATTGCACTTATCCTGTTGTTTACAATAATCACAAAAGCAGTGATAACAGCACATATTTTGGTGTGATAATCACATTATATTTAAAAACTGCAGATTAAATGTATTGAAGTAAGCAAATATGTTATAAATGTAAATATTAACATATTTCTTTGTAAAATAATAACAAAAGTTTAATTTTGTTCTTATTTTACAAAGAAAAGTTAAAATACAGAATAAGGAGATCAGAAATACATTGTTACAATTTGTACAACAAAATAGCTGTTGAGAGGTGGAGTCTGGGATTTTTTCCCAGGTTGAGAGAAACCTTGGACTTGTAGTGGTTCCTTTCCATATAAAATTATTATTACTTTTACTTACAGAAAATAATACTGCTTTTTATTAAGAAATGTGCTGTGTTTCATTTGTTAAAAAAAAACACAGGGATCTGCTTAGCATACCACTTAACTTTATTCCATGAGCTCTCGATTGCCTGGCAACAAAATAACCTTTGAATTGTTGGCAAATGCTTAGGCACTTCAATGATTCAAAGGTTTGCCAACAAGAACTCGATCTTATATCATCTGATGATGATTGATTTAAAATGTTAGAAAAATTTCATTACCTTGAGGTGCCAGTTAAAATGACTGTATTGATGATCAGAAAAACACTCGGCCACTAGTGGGCACAAAGTTGCGTAGAGATCGAAGAGAACATAACCATCATATTCTTTGAAAATGAATTTCTGTGATTTTAGACATCCCGCAAGGATATCTGGAATCCTTGCAACTCTTGCAAGGATGAAGCGATCAAAATGATAGCACTTACCTTTGCAGCAGCCTATATTTCCCTTTACCCGCAATGGAAACAATTTGTATATCTGCTTGCGAAATTAAAGTAACATAATTTTACTTCATAAATTTTGTTTTTACATCTTTAAGAATTATAACAATCTATTTATATGCAGTCGTTTAGATAGTATTCTGATTCAAAGCATTATGATCATAATAATCCTGCGAGATCTATATTAATCACACGTATATTATAGATGCTACATAATGAAAATTTAATAGAGTTTCATTTGGTTTTGGTTCTATGTTTTTAATTTGAATGTTGAATGGTATATTCTGAAATAGTATCAGTGCACACTTCAAAATGTGATGTATTTTTGAGACACCGAGGATTGAGCATTAAGTGCGGAGCCCCTCTAAGTCCGGGATTGTGTGTGAATGCAAAGTTGGATCTGAAAGCATATGAGAAACAGCACACTTCTTATGGAACTTCACACTAAATTGAACAAATTAATTTCTATGAGTATCTTTGATATAAAACAATAAATTTACCAATTTTGAAAATAGAAATTTAATTTCTATAACAAATAAATGTACTTTATCCATTTAAAAAATGATTAACAAATATTTCTCAAAGATAGAAAATCTCATAATAATTAAAAATAGTGAATACAAAAATAAAGTGTAGTTTGTACATGTTAAGAAAATATAATGTATATAAATATAGAAGAAAAATAGTTATGATTATATATCTTATTTCTTTACATATATATATATCTTACATTATATATCTTATTTTTTTAATTGTCTGTCCAATTCGTCCCATAAAAGTCGGCTAAGCAATTGTGGATTGTCCTCGTCTTCTGAAATGAAGATCAATTAAGATTAAAATTGTTTTTTTTTTTATGACACAAATTGCAATTTAATGTTCATTAATTAATAATAATAAAAAAATACATAAATGTAATGGTGAAAATTTATTAAAAAGAAGTAAAGATTAATAATTAATTATAGCTAATTCTATAAATATTTAGAAATAAGATGGTGAGGGCTAAATGGCCAAGTTAAATAAAAGCACCAGACTTCTGATCTGAGTTATATATTTTTATGGGTAAGTTGATCTAGATACAGTGGGCCCCTTGCCACATAATCAAACTTAAAGGGAACAAGATCCTCTTACTGCTCACAAAATATACCAAGCAGCAGAAATAATTTTTTCGTAACTTGTTTTTACGTTTATTATCCCATTACAATTTATTTGATAACCCTATTTTAAACACCTAATTCATTTAAATATTAATTTGTTGCAACTTCTCACCGTCCAATCGGAGCCACTCTGATAGACAAGGTGATAAGAGAATTGCCTCCGATGCAGAGTTGAAATGGTGCTGCACCATTAGACATTCTTCAAATGTAAAAGAAATTTAAACCATTACTGTTAGGAATTAATGTTAAATAAATTAAGCATATAGACACCATTCCAAGCTTGTTTCAGGCAGCATAATCATTGACAATGGTCCTTCTTTCAATTCATNTTATTTTCAGTCTAAAATTAACCTAATTATTAATTAATTAAATTATGGGAATTAATCTGAAGATGGGTTATATCACAGAGTTTTGCTAACATTAATAATTACAGAATTACTTTTAATTGTAATTAATTAAATAACTTAAAAAATCTGAAAGGAAGGGCATCTTAGCCATCTATCATTACATAAAATTCCAATATTTAAATGACTAGTAATTAGGTTAATTCTAATGTAAAGATAATCTGGCTTTTAGAAATGCCTAGCTATTAAAATGAAGCTTTGGTTTATTATAATATTTATATTCTTATAGAAATTTTAAGAATTTTTAATTGTTTTTCCTCCTAATAAGAACATTAACATACATTAAAACATTGGAAAACTGTCCAAGTTTCACATTTGTGCATTACAGTTTCTCAATGTGTGCATCTTGCATTGCATGGCACACATCCATCTGATACTTAAATTCTTCTTACATTTGCTACAGCATATTCATTCTCACTCCTCCCAAGGCAGCACAATTCTAGGGCTCCTGCAGATTACTCACATTGCACAAAGAGGAGTGATTCAGACTTCGCAAACTGTAGAGCACAACCATCTCTGTTTCCGAGTTGCCATTTTTGTTTATTGTGCTTCCTAAAGGTAACAGACAATGAGACACTTGAATGCAAATGAGAGAGAAAACTCAGATGGTTACTCTATTGATCAGAGTATAGCACATACCTCCTCAGGTAATAATTAACATAATCACAATAATTGTAAATGGTAGCACTCATTTTGGAAAACCCCATCAAGTATCTATCCTCAGCTTATAAGTATTCAATCTACAGGATAGAATGACATACAGCATACCTTTTTACAAAAATATCTCCTATGCTGTCTAATTTATTGGCCAAGTATTTTATATGTAGGCCAAAAAAAAACACGTTAATCAAACACAGAAGTCAAGGACAATCAGATACAGACTGAAAACATTTCTTTTAACAAAAGTGTTGGATTCATGAGCTTATTTATCAGTACAGTGTCAAGCCTGGTAAATTTTTATAATTATACATCAAGATAATTAAGTAATTTAAAATTTATAAAATTATAAAAACTTAAAGGCTTATACTACTATTCTATATTAAAAACAAAGAGTTAAGTATTTATATACTCAAACAGGTACTGAATGAGATGGTTGGTACCTTACCAGAGCTGTAGACCACATCCACAGGAACGAAACAGTTAAAGGAACCAAACCTCTACATGCAACTCTTGAGATATAATCATCAGAAATCGGCCCACTTCCGAGTAGCACACAATCGGGAGTCACGTTGCTCTGCCAAGACCATCGTGTTTAACTATTTAACCCAGGTGACTATGTCGGCTTCGAGATGAGCCAACTCGACCGTTCGTGGAGTACTCGACGTTATGTAGTTTTAGGGGGTTTAGGGGCTCATCTTCACATAGGCACTTCAGTACTTGTTGTCACTCTACATACTCTGCATCAGTTGAGGCAAGTGATAGCGAGCCTCGATTATTGCGAAGCATGGAGAATAGGCAGTAGTACCGGTACACGTTAAATTTGGAGGCAGATATCAAGCAAAGGTTTGCATGGACAGGTACGGTTCACTCGACTTTTTTGCTCGTACAGGGTATCTACAATTCTGGGATGGACAGGGAACCCCTCATTCAGAGTTCACATCTTACACTAAAATCAATAAAATTTCCTTACAGTAATATATCATCGTTGATTTATCATCATTTTTCAGAGGCTCAGCAACGACAGAATGATTAAAACTCGAGTTATTCTTCGTCAGTTGTTCGCCATCGACTGCTTTACTGCAACAAATCACGTAAAAGACGGACAAAATAAAAATAATGCAACTAGCGATTATTTTACAATAGCCAGATCTTTTTTCTATGTTTTCCATCTCATCAGTCGGACACTGCTGATAAGCATAATCTGTAAATAAACGATAAAAAACCGAATTAAAATACACTAAAACATCTGTAAAAGTTTAATAAATCTAAATTCGACCCTACACAACACGTTTCACCTTACACGAGACTTACTTTTAAAATCTGAACCGCTCATGATTCGATTTTTCGTTACCACGCCTTGTTTCAGTTTCGATTTCGTTTTCGCGTGACTTCTCTACTCTCTAATGGAGGCCGCCATATTGATTTTACGTCATTCGGCGCCATTGGTCCGTTTCTTTATGATGTAATTCGAAAGAGGGTCGCCATCTGTGTGGATTGACACTAAAAGTAAACTATTATCAAGGACAATGCTCAAAGTAAATTAAAAAATATTTAAAATTTAATTATTTAACAATATTTTTCATTTTCTGTGCTGTTTCACGTATATATTCACGCATAAAAACCATCAATGGCCGCCATATTTATTTTACGTCTTTCGGCTCCATTGGTCGTTTCTCTCTGACATATCAGTTGCAAACCAATGATGTAGTCCATTGCATACGAAACAGCTAATACAACTAGCTTTAACTGATTTTCACTTATTCACTCTTTATATATTTTAGAAAAATAAAATATAAAATGAAATATTTAATAAGTCATTAAAAATCGAATATAAAATGCCATCTATACTGTACAAATAATTTCGAGGAAACTAATCTCAATTCATGTTTAATGGTAATATAAAGGTTCGCTTTACGACCGATCAGATCGTAAAGCGAAACCAACGTTTAGGCTGTAAAATCGAAGTATTTGTTGTGTATATTTTAAACTGGCACCATATTTTACTATTTATTTTTAAAATTCTACTTTCCTGTTCCATTATAAAAAGGTTGTACCCCACATCACTAGAAAACTTAAATTCTACTGATGATATTGAAGCATCATCACAAATAATGATCGTATCAGAAAGATTTTTGACTGATTAGGTTAATTAATGGCAAACTATATAAAATTAATCTACTAACTGAAACAGAAGGCGGGCCAGTATGATAAAGGCACTGGCTTGCAACTACGAAAACTTGAATTTTTGTAAAAGGATCAAACAAATCTATAATGGACACGGATGATCATCTTAGTGCTTTGGGAAGGATTTAAATATATATATAAATGCATAAACAGATTAATTTATTAATTTCACACTTGAAATATCCAACTTCATGTTGAGTATACATTATAATATGTACAAGTATGGGGTCTTCTAAAAAGAATGCTATAATTTTATTGTAATAAAGTTAATTATTATCTAAGAACATTGTAATGTACATTAAAACATTGGAAAACTGTCCAACTCTGCAACCGCCCATTACAGTTTCTCAAAACATGCACCTTGCATCACATGGCACACATCCGACCAATACTGAAATTCCTCCTATGCTCACTGCTTATGTAAATTTAATGATTTATATATATAGAGTAAAAAGAGTTTTTATGTAAAATTAAAAATATATATTTTGTTTAGAAGAGTAGCTTATGAGTAATTAAACATTATTTTAGGAGATTTTTGAGGCTGCAAAGGCACTCCAATAATCACAGACGTGACATTATTACAAAAGTACAAAAACAAATTATACATATTCCAAAAGTTTTTCAATTTTAAAAATTTATTCATTCTATTTTATTTGAACCATCTTTAAGAACTTTTGGTCTCGGAACAGGAACTTTGTGTCAAAGGGCCGTTACCGAAATGATATATTTATAATAAGACAATCTGTATAAATGTACACACATATTTAAGATGAAATTCAACAAAGATATAAGCAAATTTAAGATTTTAATTTGTAAAAAAGTTAATTATCTCAACACCATACAACCGCAATACAAAACAACAAAGGCGAAACATTTTACATTCTTTTTCTTTTTTGCTTTCTTGGCTGCTACGCAACATTTCATTGGTGGAACGAAGCATATTTCCGAGGCAGCCTTCCGCAGCGGGAGCAACCGTGTGTGGAAAAGAAACAGAAGAAACGACTGGTCTTAAAATTGATTAATGATGAATGCAATTAATGAATTAAATAAAACAATTATGTTCCTTCTGGATTTTGCAAAGTAATTAAATTGGTAACAGTTGTTGCGACACTTCTCTAGTGTTAGAAACGCTTAATCTTGATCCCAGTCGCCTCCGTCAGATTTGGGTTTTGGTCCTCCGGCCGGCTTGGCCATGATTATCTAAAAATTAAATAGACATGTTTTAACGGTAACTAAAGAACAGTCAAGTCTGACGACGAACAGATCCACTTACTTGATCAACTTTGAGAATGGTGCATGCCGCATTTGTTGCATACTTAATGGCCCAATATTTTGTAAGATAGAGATCTAATATGTTCTCGCTGACATCTTTCACTGATGTTCCTTCCACCTAAAACACATTTAATAGGTTATGAAAAAATAAAACATAAATTAATACAAAATGTAAAAATTATTTCTAACCTCTGCGTCAAATCCCACGTTTACTTTCCCTTCTTGATGATCGGCGTATAAGTTAGAAATTACTTCTGTAGGCTGTTGTGATATATATGATAAAGACTTTTGCCATAAAGAAATATCATAGAGCGTTTAAATAAATACTTACCTTAACACCGGAATTTTCGGCTAATGCACGGGGTAATGATTCTAAGGCTTCGGCAAATTTCTTTACTGCATATTGTTCAAGGCCAGGTAATTGCTAAAAAAATAAATAAATAATTTCATTATTTATCAATAAAGTGTACCCCCTGCTTTACTACTGCAAGTGAAATCAAACTGCTTTTGATTTCATCTGTTTGATTACAACTCCATGAGATTCCACAAATCCAACTTGCAGCATTGCAAACTCTACTCATCACCCTGTATGTATATTATTTTCTTACCTCTCCATAAGAAGTAATCTGCTTTGCAAGTTCAATCTCACTTGCTCCTCCGCCAGGAATTAATCTACCATCCTTTGAAAGGAAAATAAAAGATGTTACGCTTAACAATTGATAACATTAAGTGATTAAATAAAGTAAGTAGTAAGCAAAATGTTTTCATTTTATTTTTGTTTTAAATGACAAAAATATACTCAAAACTTCTACAAAAAAAAATAAAGGAAACGTACTTTTGTGATTGCTTTGAAAGTATTTACTCCATCGTCGATTGCCCTTTCGATATCGTCCATTAAATTGTCTGTAGATCCTCTTATCACAATCGTAGATATTCGAGATTCTTTACTTTCTACAAAATGATGAAAAAAGTCAACTCTTTTTTACCTTTTGTCCTTACTTTTATCAATTTCTATTTGAATCCTTGTCTACTTTGGACTTTTAATAAACAAAGTCCAAAGTAGAAAAGGATATAAAAAAAAAGTCGTTTTAACAGTCATTTTTTGTTTATTAAATCAAATTAAAATAGCTTTTAAAATTTAATTTTTACCTTGTTTAAAAATTACAACAGGAGTTTCTCCGATTTCGTCTAAGTAAACTTTATCACAATAACCTAGTTCTTCTGGTGTGGGTGCAATCTGAAAGAAGTAATGAATTGTTTTTCAAAACAACTGTAAATTAACACGTACAAAGAAGCACTTTACAATGATAAAGTTCAACAATGAGAAGTTTTAAATAACAACAATGGTGAAAAAAATTTATCTATGGTACTAAATTTGTATGCAAGACCTGCTTCATTATAGTAGCTTTGCTGATTTAGAATCACAAATCAGTGATTCTTGTCACTGATTTAGATCAGAGGTTCTTAACCTGGAGTGAAAGATACGTTTTCTCCGAGAAAAATTTTTTATTTGAACTTTTTCAAAAAAAGGGTTTTTGTTGAGAACTAAATTTTAAGATAAAGCCATAATAAAGGTGTACTAATATCAAATTTAAATGTATAATTACATATTTCTTCTGCATAATTCCTAACCCAGACATAAATATTTTTATATTGATAAATGAACACAGGTGAATCTTCTTGCTTAAATTGTATCTAAAGTTAGACTAAAATGTGTGAAAATGAGACAACTCTACCCATCCACATAAGAAAACTTAAATGAATTTTTCATGGAGATATGAGCACCAAATCATTTGTTATGCTTTTGAACAATGTTAAACTCAGTGAGATAATGTTTTGTTTAAAATTTATGGAGTCAACGACATTGAAGCATGAAAAATCTGACAAAAATTATAATAAGGAAAAAAATTTATAGTAAATATTATACATTAACTGAATAGATATTTTTTTTCAAAACTCGTGTGTCAAAATACATCCTTACAGTGTGAAATTATAAAAACAACTGATTATTATATATTTAATTATGCAATTCAGTAAAATAGTAACATATTATAAGAATTACTACCAATAAAATAGCAAAACCCATTACTAAAAACAAAATATAGTAAAACATGCATTAATCCCTAAAGAAAGAGTTAAGGCAACATTGAATGCCAGTCACTGGCATCACCAGTTGTTTCCATTGTAATTATCAAGGTCAAAACCTCAATAATTAAAACATGGATTATTGGCCACACCTGATGTCGACATTCCACACTACTTTAATTTTGCTGTGCGTCTGCCTTAAGACTCACTGAATATCAAGCACTCAAGTCTTATTTCTTTCTCTTTTTTTTATCTCAAATTTGTTTATTGCTTTGTTCGTTTTCATTTAAAAATAATAATATGATTTAAATGTGTGTGGTTTTAAAACAGATACTACTCATTTAATACTTACTAATCGTGGCAAAGCAGTTGCTCCAACAGTTTTACACAGCCTTCTGACATCAAACTTGGAAGGCAAGCGCACACCCATCATACCATATTTATTCAAAAAGTGTAGTGCCATGTCTCCTATTTTTCCTCCAGAAACGACAACATTTGCTCCGGAATCGGCAATGGATTTGATTTGCTGAAAATAAATAAATTAAAAGACATCAATCCCTGAAAAAGATCTCATCGAAGTTTATTTATTCCAATAATAACAATGATTGTCGAAGACACCAAGGTCAACATGTTGCAATGTCACAAAAACCTTGCAGTTATGTGGTGGTAATTTTCATGCAAAAATAACTCAAAATATAATAAGACATGTAAAAGATATTAATCATCATTTTAAAAAAATAAAATAAAATCAAAATTATAAAATAAACTTTACAAATTAAGCTACTAATCCAAATCAAAGTTTCTCACTCTTACCTGTTCTAACATACTTTCTTCGCCTCGACTGAAATTCATCAACTCGTCGGCAGATTTTATCAGAACAGTCCCCTGTAAGAATACTCGTATAAACATATATTTTCTCATTTTAAATAAATTACACACTAATTCCAAAACATACTTTTGTTTCTGTCTGCATTGCGTCGACGGGATAGGTGTACACGGCGACTTTGGCCTCTGCTACTTTTGTGATGTCGCCTTCGACCTGCCTCTTGAAAACCATTCCCTGACACACTTCTGATTTATGGAGGCCGGAACCCTAAGAAATTTTAAACTATAAATTTTTGTTTCTTCTTTTATTAAATACGAGCATAGAGACCAACCTTACCAAAATTTTACAAACACGAACATTGTCTACATTAAAGGTTGTTTTTTCTGGGAGTATGGAGACTAAAAGTTAAAAATATAAACACACATTAATCGAAGCTAGAAGGAAAAATTGGTTTGTTTACACAATAATAAGAATTAATTATAGTAAATCAAACTAATCAGCAAAACAGACTACACTTACTGCAAGCTTGAGAAATGAGCTTTGATAAAAATATTTCGTTTCCATATTGTTTACTCATCACAGAAGTTTTGATGCCTTTAAAAACATCTTTCTCATTACGATAATCTTTTATCTCAAAACATGTTAAACCTGTAAAAGACATTATGATTAGAAAAACAACTAGAGATTAAAACAAATATTAAATAAATTTTTATTCTCTATGTATTTAGGTTGTCCTGTAAGTCTGAAATCATAGATGTTGATCTTTGTTATTTTGCAGCTAAAGAATGGCACTGAGTAAGTAAGAACAAATTTAAGCTATTTTGGCGGCAAAATCTGCAGTCGGTGTGAAATTGCCAACAAGTTTAATAGGCTGCATCTGAACCGCAATGTGCAATTAGCGAGAAATAATGATTGCAGCCCATTAAAAGCTTTGATGACTTTTTGCAAACTGCAAGTCTCCACTATCAAAATAACATAAATTTGTCACTCCTTAATCGGTGCCACACTTTACTGTAATAATAATCAAATAATCACTATACAGCTTTGATATGGTGCAGTATTTCTAGTGTGCGACATACCACTTGATACACTGCTAATATTTTATACATAAATCATACAGAAGTAAGGATTTAACTTTTAAAAAATGTAAAAGCATTTTATAATCAAATGATAAAGCTAGATTAACTGTTCAGCTAGAACTTCATTAATTAATTCTAGACGCATTACATATTGGGTTGTTCGAAAAGAAAGTTTGTTTTTTTTTTTTTACCACTAGATGGATTAGTCGTATTTTCCTCGCCATTTTCATTCTAAACTGTATTATCATTATATATTTTGACAGCTAGCATTTTAAGGCTTATTTGTAAAAAATTTTGTTTGATTTTGTGCAATTGTTTATTTTTTGTCCCCCATCAATTATGGAAGATCGAAAGCAGCATTTTCGGCATATTTTGCTCTTTTATTACCAAAAAGGTAAGAATGCTGTTCAAGTGAGAAAAAAAATTGTGTGACGTGTATGGAGATGTGTTGAGAGAAAGACAGTACCAAAACTGGTTTACAAAATTTCGTTCTGGCAATTTCAATATTGAAGTTGCACCACGTTCTGGATGGCCAGTTGAAGCCAATGAAAACAAAATAAAGGTACTGATTGAAGCAAACTGCCGAATAACAACACGTGAAATCACTAAGAGATTAAATTTGTCAAATTGAACTGTTTATGATTACTTGAAACAAATTGGTTTCGTTTCAAAGCTCGATATATAAGTTTCACATGTTCTTAAAGAGAGATGCTCTCTTTGGTGGGATTTTAAGGAAATTTTTTTTTTTGGCGCTTTTACCAGACAATTTAACAATTGGTTCAAAAGTGTACTGCCATCAAGTATACAAGTTAAGTAATATAATCAAACAGAAAAGTAGCCAGAATTGATCAACAAAAGAGGTGTAGTGTTTTACCACGATAATTTCAAATTTCACACAAGTTTGGTAACTCGTCAGAAACTGTTATAACTTAGACGGAATATGCTATCACACCAACCATATTCACCAGATCGAGCACACTCAGATTATTACTTGTTCCGGTCCATACAAATTTTTTTTAACTGTAAGACATTTACTTGAAATGACAATGTTAAAAATCACTTAAATCAGTTTTTTGTAAGCAACGATCAAAACTTTTATGAATGTGAAATCATGCTACTACCAGAAATGATGACAACAGGTATTTGACCAAAATGGTCGATATATAATTCAATAAAATATTTATTTATTATAAAAATATTGCATTTTTTCTACGGAAAAAAACGAAATTACTTCCAAACAACTCAATACTTTGGATGGACAGGCAATTTTGCAACTTATCTGTAATCCAAATTACATATCATCTGTGTAATTAATCAGCCAATAGTTAATCCAACTCTATCATTTGATTATTACTATAATTTGAACTTTGTTTTCTATATAATTATACACTTATACAAATTAACAATTAGTAAAATTTGTATATCAGTAAATCTTGGAATAAAATAAAATTTAATTTTTTGAAATTAATGCAGAGTTTTGGAAGAAATAACAGTTAAATAACACTTACTTGGAAGAATTTCTAAAGCCTTCTTGCAGGCAAGTTCGTAACCTTCATGGATTTCAACAGGGGTTAATCCCTAAGAAAAGAAAAAAAAAAAAAAAAAAAGACATTAATATGGACTGAATTATCAAAATTAAGCTCATCTGCAAAGACAGCTAATGGCCAATATTCAACCAAAGTTAATAACGACACTCTGAAAGCTGTTTTCACAAGTAAAAAATAATTCCAAAAAGCATTATCAGGAGAAATTCAGCACTATGAACAGAGATAAAGCATGGCAACAAAATAATTATAAAACAAGTTAACCAAAACCTAAATGTAAAGTGTAATCAATAAATTTTGTGTGTCAAATCTCCAATCGTGGCAGTTTTTACGGCTACTTTTTCCCCACAGAAACTATTTCCATGTGTTTCAGAGAAGCTTTATTGAGTTTCTGTCACTAGAAACCAATGCAGATGGTCCTGGAATAAAGATACTTTAATTATTCAAATATTATTATTTTAATATTGTAAGGATAGTCTGCAAACAATTACTTTTGCTAAAAGTAAACAAGCCGACTGACAATTTAGAGAGTAGAAAATATTGTTAATTCGTAACTCAATTTAAATACAAAACAACTTCAACATTAACTCACCAGGGACTCTACTAAAATGATAAAAATCAAAACTCATGAGAGAGAGGGATCTAAAGCTTAATGTTTGGCCTGCATAAAAGTATTTTCTCCCTCTACTTTTGTTTTTGACATGACTTTTTGACCATTAATGATCTTGTCTCATAAATAAGACATCTGTCACACCTAACTTCTTGTATTTAAATATAGCTTTCATTTTTTGTAATTAATTAGTAACATTGTAATGTGAAAGGAAATGAAAACCTACCATGCGAATCAATTCTTCGGCCTGCTCGAGAAGAGCACCGGCAAAAATTATCACAAAATTAGTACCATCTCCGACTTCTTGTTCCTGCATTTGCGAAGCCAAGACAAGCAATCTGGCAGCCGGATGTTGAATCTGAAACAGAAAATTATGTAACTTTTATCAAAGTTTCAAATTAAAAACGTTAGTTAATTAAGTAGAAAAATCAACAAACCTCCAATTCTTTGATAATGGTAGCTGCATCATTTGTAACAAATAACTTTTCCAAATGATTGATCACCATTTTATTTAAACCTGAAATTAAAAGATAAAAAGCATTTTATAAACTTTTTTCCTTCAAAATTTTATATATTAACACACTAAAACTTAACTATAAATACTGCTTGATTAGATAGAGAAAATCGATAAAAAATTTTCCAATGTTTATAGGTCTACAGAGTCATCTTCAGGGGGACTGTTTGTTAACTTATGGCAACACAACACTTGGGTGATCTGCCTAGGGGGGGATGCCTTCCAGGATATCTTTTTAAAGGAAACTGGCCTCTATTTAAGCATTACAGATGTAAAGAAAACCTGGAAAACTTCACATGGCCAGCCTGTCTGAGTGAGGTGCAAACCCACAACCAAATTCCCAGTGTTCAGGGTATGAAGACCGCTTGGCCACTGGTGGTAACTCAGGGGACTACTTACCTTAGACTACGTTCCATCAAAGATATTTCTATATCAACAGTATGACCACTCTTGCTACAGAAATATAAAAAAAAGAGTGGCTCTAATATGTAAGTTACACCACTAACATTTGAGAACCGTGCTCTTGAATGTCAGTGCATTCTGGAAAATACACCAGACCATTTGGAGGTTCCCTTAATGCATTTCAAAAGCATTATAATCAACATATAACAAGAAAAATGCCCAAATTCAGAGAGAATATGTTTTGTTTTTCATATAAAATCTCAAACTTTATAACTTGTTCTCCTGTTTCCCAAGCTATATGATCTGAGAAACTTATTACATTTCAATGTAAATCGACCTGTTTGTTGGCAAGAAATACAGATTAATTACAAAAGTGAGCCGCAGCAGTAACAGTTACAACTAGTCAACTAGTTGTTTAACGACGGGAAATAGCCCCAGCAAAGGAAAATTAAATACATATAACTTCAAAGTTTACAGAGAAATACAAAAATAGCATTTTAAGAAATAAATTCAAAGATAAACCAACCATTAGGACCGTAAGCACTTTTAACAGTCTGAGCTAACTGGGTGCAAGCTTCTATATTCCGATAAACTGCTTCGTCCAGACCTCGAAAATGCTGTAAATAGAAAACACAATTTGTTGTTATTTTATTTATAAATTGTTTTACCGGAATTCTAAGTTGCCGGGTTACTTCCGAGATATATTAAGTTAATTAAACTACATAATTTTGTCTATAAGGTCAGCAATTTTACTTAACTTAGAAAAATAGCACAAATGTAACTTAGAAGTATAGATTTCTTGTCAATTAGAGAACCATAAAATAGAATTTAATTATTTATAATTTGATTTTGTAGTAATAATAATAATAAAACTTAAAGTACAACTTTACAATTTGAAGGATTGGTTTAATGGGATTTGGCAAAGCAACACATGAGCAATCTGCCAAAAGGAAACTCCTCTCGGGAGGCATTTCCCTCCCGAGAGGAATTTCTACATGAAACTGGCTCGTATTTAGATGTTAGACAAAAGAAACTCAGAAAATTCCAAATTTCAATGTCATATATTTATACACATTCATAAAATACAATTTTAAAGCCTTACAGCTTCAGTTGTGAGAGTAATTTCAAACGAATGCAGAAGTTATTTTAAATCATACATTAATAAGATATTTCAAGCGACGAGTCCAGATCAATCACAAATGCAGAGCTCCACCCTTCTCTGAAGCTATAGTATACAAATAAAATCAATAAAATATATATATACACAGTATTTCATTGCTTCTAATGAACACTTTTTTCTGGACTATTACAGTCTCAATAAGTAAAACAGCAAAATCATATTTGGGACAAGGCTATGTCTTGGAGACTCACCAAGTGGAAATACTTTGACGCTCAAAGTAGGTCTCGTTCTCATTCTCCAATCTTCTTTCGTATCGCTGCTTTTGGGTATAATCATTCAAACTTTGCCATCCACAATGCATTTTTGATGAAATTAACCTATCCAATTTCAAAATTTCTCTCTGTTGAGTGTCGGCCCGGTTGAATTTTTGTCGATGCATAACGAAAATTTCCCATTTTTGAAAAAAATAATCGTGGCTATTGTATCGTCCAAAATTATTTTTTTATTTTGCACAAACAATTTATAGTTTAACCCGATTATAATGTCATTGGACGTAACGACAACCCTAATATAACATCAAATTTTTATTGGCCCCACGATTTTACTATACTAGATAATGTTAAAAAACCCACTTGTAACGACATAAAACTGTTTTAACATCATACTTAAGCACTCCCAAATTTACAAAATTAGATTACAAATTTTATTTAACATAGAAGAAAATACATGTTCAGTCCTAAGGTCAGAGTTCACTTCTTAGAATGACGGTGGGTGATACTCTTCCTACCTGACTTCAGTGGGGTGAGGTGCCTGTTTTGCCTGTTTGTAGAAGAGGGTTGCCATTTTGTATTTTATTTTGACTCGGTTCTCGGTCCCCCGACTACCTACAAGTCTGGATTTTTTTAATGCACAAATGATTTGGGCACCTAATACTGTGCCAAATATCACAACTAGGTGTGAATATGTTCTTCACGACTAGGTGTATTATATTCTGGACACAGATGTCAAGAGATGCTGGAAGATGCTAGATGTCAAACCATGAAACCTTCACTTTAATAGTAATTTAAATCATAAATATATTTTAAACTGCAATGATATTTTTAACAATTTTAACTGTAAATACATAATTTTAAACGAAATGTATAAGCATCAAAACAACACAAAGAAAATCCCAGATGTCATGCCGACAGACGAGGGGCCTTTGCCCGAAACGCATATCGGCCTACAGAAGATACAGAATAAAGATGATTTAAAAAGGTCTTGTGTCTATTAATTAATACACCTAGTCGTGAAGAAAAAAACAGTAGATGTTATTAAACATGTGAAGATACAGAAAAACACATGCAAAGTCAAATTTATATAAAGAAATCCTACAACAGATGACATTTAAAGGCTACAGTTTTAAAATCTAATTCATTACAAGCTGTCAATAGTGAGACAGAAGAGTTCTAGAAACAGATTCTGAAGATGGACATCTAATATGGGACTTCTTTAATCAGTGAATTCTTTGGATATTTAAGTTAAGAAAATTTACCTAAATTATAGATATTCTGTATATTAATAGCACCATTCGATTGTTAAACAGTAGAAACTTAAATAGAAACACAAAAGTATTATTTGAATTATAAAAATGAATAATTAGAAATCGGTTTTGAATTTTCTGTTTGTTCTGTATATGGAAATAGTTTCTTGCTCAAAACCAATCAATCAAAATCTTAACATTTTGTAATCTTTGTTAAATTTGTAAAAAATATTAATTCAATGTGCCACTGCCACTTGCCAAAACTACAAGTGGCAGCGGCACAGCTAAGATATGTGCAGCTTGGGGAGAATCTAGAGTTTGCCATCCCCACAAAACAACACAATGTAACACACATCAAACATACCTAAACAAAAAGTGAAAAAGATGTATAGCCATAGAGAAAAACCTGTAGAAAGGTAGGACACTACTACCATTGTTATTAATTAAGCACTACTAATAATTTGATTTAATGGCCGATAAGGCAGTCTTCCAGACACGGTCCTTACTACTGTTGAAAATTTCCAACGATAAGCAACGTTTCTGTAAAATAATAAAATTGTGTCTGGCATCATCTATCCTTTTACTATCCTGACGAAGAAAACTTTCCTTTTCTGGCAGACCAAAAGTACCATTCCCAAAATGTGCTGCCCAGGCCGGACCACCCCTTCCTGCCCCACTAGCTAGGCTACTGGAGAAAGGAATTTTGTATAACAAAGGAATAAACACAATTCTTAATAGCAAGGTCTTCAAAACTAGTGAGATCTGCCACACCGCAACATGGATACCAATGAAAGTTAGGGAGTTAGAATGCATAACGCTACAAAAAAAAAATATATCATCAGAAGCATATATATAATAGGAACAAAGGTAATTTCAAATAAACTGCCAAATTATCAGGCTATAATATGGCTATGTAATTAATTAAATACTAATGGGTAAGTGAAAGTTGTGAGTTCAACTCCCACTCTGGGCCAATTCTTATATTCCAGAAAATTTGACAGAATTCAAAACACTAGATACGCAACTGAATGGTAGGGGAAGACCAGTGCCAGCCCGAGGCAAGTTTTAGGATGGAACGAGATCCTATTATGGCACCCCCTTGGTTGTCCCTAATCTATATCCTTTAATTTTCTTTACCACTGAGGCGCCCCTACGACTTAGTGCCTGGAACGGCTGCTTTGTTTGCCCTAGGGCCGGCTGAGGATGACAAAACTGTTCCGAGAGACAGTAGACGAAGTATATAAAATACTGTGGCACAGGCAAATCCACAATGACAACCACATATATAACATTTTTAGTACAATATTTAGAGTACAGTAATACCCCAGACTTACGCGATAGGTGGGACCGAGCAATAACCACGTAAGTCGAATTCGCGTAAGTCGGGGTATAATTTCTCAATGTGTGTAAAATCCAAGTGGGATGTATGTAAGCTAATAAATGTTCTCGTAAATCTTATCTCATCTTTTGATTTGTTCATTGTTACAAGAAATCACCACATAGAGCCAGGGTGGCCAAGCTGCTTGATAGTCCGAGCCATTTTTCAAAATTTGAAATTTTTCGCGAGCCACAATTAAATAAGTATTAAAAAGGTATGCAAAAAATTCCAGAATACAAATTATATCTGTAGCAAGAGTGATACAAATTGTTTCCTCCAGAGCACAATGTCAACTATCCGTTGCAATGACAATTTACAAATTCAAAATAGGTCTGGAGTCGGTCGATAACGGACGATTACACCACTGTTTATGTTCGTTCGCGCAGTTTTCGATGAGTCATATCATTCTTAACTTGGACGGAAATGAAATTTGTTACAACGTTGCACTTAGTCTTTCATATTTGTTGTTAGTAATTTAAAAGACATTTTGAAACACATACGGAACGATAATAATTTTTTAAAATATAATAACACAAAATTGAAAAGGGAACTCGGGTACATCTATCGAGAGCCACAAATAATCCTTCAAAGAGCCGCATGTGGCTCGCCAGCCGCAGGTTGGCCACCCCTGACATAGTCTCTTGAGTCTCCGTAGATATAACAAACACAGAAATAAATAACACAAAATAAATTGTAGCTATGTGTCGATTCCGCGCGACACGTCCGAACATGTAAGTTGAACAATAGTGTGGAAAGAATGAGTAATCAAGAGTTGCGTGGTGCTCAAACAAAAGACAAATCGACGAGATTTGAAAATCGCGTTACTCCGGGTTTGCATAAGTCGGGGTAGCGTAAGTTGAGGTATCACTGTATTCAGCCATACTTCTTCCAAAAATTAATAATTCTTTCACTATTTACACCTCAATAAAAAATACTGTATCTTGTTAATCATTTTTTATTGTGGATTAAAACCAATATTTAAAAAAATAGCCAATAGAGGAATTTATATTAGAGATATCGAAGACTCTTTGCACAGGTTGTAACAGTATGTACTCAAAAACAATAGAAAAGATGAGACAAAAATGGATAAGAGGAAAACGAAACATTTTTTGATTAAAAATGTTTCATTTTCCTCCATCGGGTCCCAAATGTATTTTGATGACAGATCTTTGTATCTGAAAGTATTTAGTAATGGCATTTGATTTACAATTTTTTAATAAAGCAGCTCGCTACTCAAGTAAAATAATGTAGTAATTGAATAATCTGAACAAAATTTGAATCAATTAACTCTCAATTTCATACTTATTGTATTGCATGTAATCAATATTAAACAAAGGAACATTTTTATGAAACACTTGGGTATATAAATAAATTGCAGTTATTAAGTGCACTTAATTGCAACATTGCTTTCGAATCTATCATGTTAAATAGTTAAATAGAATAAAGTTTCTTAGTTGCATAGCACTACGTTTCTCAACTAGTGGTTTGTGAACATTCATGGTGTGGAGGTTTTAGAGGATAGCAACACAAATGTCAAGAACCACTGGTGTAGCATGTTTAGAGTTAAGAAACATTTTGACAAAGCCAACTAGCCTGG